GAAATGAGCAAAACAAGCAAGGGTCTATTTTTTATTATCCAAGGGGTGTAACTTCACTATTACGGAAACATATCGAAAAATTCTCGCGGCTATGCGTTCGTTGCAGACTCGTGCACAACAGCAACACTGCTACTAAATTTCTACTTCTGAATGGGTTTGGGGATCTTCAAGATGTGCTTTGACGCGATAGATGAAGACCAAAAAATTTTAGAACTGCAGAGCTATCATATATATTCTTATTGGAATGGTGTTGTGGATCGGGACATTTACAGCCGTGTTCGCACAAGTGCATCCCAAAAGTCGTGCACTTTAACCTTTTGAGGCCTAGGTCCTTTGCCAAGACAGTCCTCGTCTTCTTTCAGTCTTATTCCACCTCTTATAAGGCATTTGATGCATGAGGACATGGCTTGCATCGACGTGGCAGGCCCATAATCACTGTACAGTGGAACTTTGACTATGCATTCCTCGGTTTGGTGACGGCCCGCATTTTACGACTACTCGATTAGGTCCCGGCAAAATCCACATAGAAATGATCTATTAAAAACCTTAGTTATATGATGCTGTTTTATACAGACCCTGCATCTTACGACTTTCAGATTCCGTCCTAAAGAAAAAAACACATTTACTCGAATAAAACTTTGACTGAACCAAATATTCACGAGTGCAAATTATGAACTTGCATTCCCCTAGGTTGATGATTAGAAAAATAGAGAGTAAAACAGGATGTCTTGTTATAATGGAAAATTTATATTCCTGGAACTTCATGCGCTTCTACAACACCTCGATCACGCACATATCTATCTGGGTGTAATGAAAGAATTAAAACGACGACGACGAAGGTGTGGTGCCAGGCGCATGAGTGCAAGTTGTGTGCTGAGGCTAGCCAATCAGCTGATTACTTGTGGTGGCCCATAGAAGTGGTGTGCCACAATTGGGCCACATATGCAGAATACGTGGTGAAAAGCTTTGTGGCAGGAGAAGAGCGGAAGCAGTGGCAGACAGAAGACAGCCGCGACAATTGTCAGGCCGAAGTGTCAGGCGCGGTGATTCAGGTTTCAGCTAGGTAACGCGACATGCTGCTGCCATCTAACCACCAGCTGAAGCGGCATTGCCAGCACGAGTACTGCATCTCGGGGTACGGTCTGGCCTGCTGTTCTGTTCCTTTCCGAGCGCATTGCAGATCTCTGCGAGGTGTCTCCGCAGTCAGCTGTTTAGCACAGCAACGAACGTGACCTGGCTAATGGTCACAGTTGCACATCGCATCGCATCTCTGATGTGGGTGGACTGCGTTCGAAGTCGTACCGAAGCCATCAAGCACTATCATCGCCACAGCGTCACACTTCCACATGGGAGCCGCACTACATCACCTTTCACCGCCTCCTGCCCTGCACCACAGCGTCCGTTGTACCATCCACCATGCCGTGAAGATTTTTAACGTTCTCTCCTGAACTCATGTTGTCTTCCTCATTTAGCTTAGCATCTGTAACTCAGTGTTTATTGCAGTGTTTTTTCGGTGTCTGTCATAAACGTCGTGGGTGTTGTTACCATGCCGTCTCTCATTATCCATTTCTACTTCTCATGGCATGCACAACCATGACGAATATAGTCTCATCATTTTCATTACACCGGGGTCGTTACCTAATAAAGCTGTTGTGGTGAACTCCAAATACGCCACGGTGGAACAGGTGGAACCGCCAGCGTGTTGCAGACCGACATTCATTTCCCTTCCTTTGCACCGCCAACAAAGGTGTGGAAAGGGAAACGAAAAGAGAGCCGGTCCCTGAGTTCAACAAACAATAAAGTTAGTTGGTATCGCGACTCTCAACAATGCTCTGTCTCTGTGTCACTCACACGAGCCAGCATTCGGTGGCCCGCAGTCCTAACTACGGAGCAGCACGAAGCCGTCGCCAGCCTGACAGTATAGTCGTGAAGCGTCCACCCTTTTAGACCAGCGATCCTGCACTTTGGTTCGTCCAGGCTCTCCACATTACCGCCGACACCACCAAATACCATCACGTGGTGGCCATCATTCAACCTGCCACAGCGAGTGAGGTGTGCAACATTCAGCATGACCCACCATCAGAAGATGCGTATTGAGTGTTCAAAGAGGCACTCATTCGTCCTCTCACCCCTTTGGAGCTGGAGCAGCTGCTACGCGAGGCTGAACTGAGTAACCGCCGACCAAGCCAACTTGGTCGGCGGTTACTCACCAGGTGCAGCAACTAGCGCAGCACCTGGTGCAGCAACTAGCGGGCAGCACAACAGCCTCGACAGTAGTCTCGTGCACGGGCTTTTCCTCTAAAAACTGATCGCAACCATGTTGATAGGCGTCAGGGCTTCACAAGATCGATGAACTAGCTGACCGACTGATGGCCGTCACCTCGCCAGCAGTTGCCACAGTGCTTGCCGAAGTCTCGCCATCTACCGCATTGCTGGAGATTATGGTGACCTCGCTACCCACCGTAGCGGATAATCACCGCTGGTTCCCGCTTAGCGAGCCACAGGGCCACGACTCGCGCCACCACCTCGCTTGTAATGCATCGCTTCGCGCGCTCGGCTAACAAGGCGGTTAGGGTGGCACGGCAAAACAGACAGTGTTAAAATGACAGAAATACACCGACACTTTGTTGCCTTTGGCGGTACCCCGAGCAACAGTACAATGTCCGCTCCTGGGACGTGGAGAGCAAAGGCTCCTGCACGCGGATGTTCACGATAAGGGGGGGGGGGGGGGGGGGGGGACCGCGAGCATGTTGCAGCTGGCAATAGCGAGCTTTGACACGCCGGTCAAGAAAAGGTCCTTTGGGGCTATGCTGCGCACTCTCACGATGACCACTGGGCCTGGTCGCGAGAGTTAGGGCAAACCTCGTACGCGTAGGCCTACGGCAAGTGCGGCTTGGTGTGGTACAACTACTTCAAGCACTAGGCGCCGCTGTTGGCTCAGTGTACGGTACCGAAGCTAGCACTCAAGTAAACACGCCTGCCGGGATGCCAAGGCTCCTCGGCAGGCTACATTCCGGCGATTCCCAAAGGGGTCGCGGATGAAAGAAACGCGTGCTTACCCGTCGTCGACTAACGGAAGAGAGACCTCTCTCGGCGCGCACGTGCCTCGTCTTACCCATTCTCGCAGCCCCCGAGAACACGTGCTGCGCCCGCACGTGGCGCCATCTATCGCCACGCGCCGTTACCAGAGCAGGAAAAGGGAAAACGAGCGCCCGTACGATGTAATGCCCGAGAAATGGTTGCGGGCGCACCTCAGATTCCCACAAGATTCAGGAAGAGATTTCTTACCTCGCTGACACTGTCACGGTACTACAGTTAAGCAGGGTGGCGTGCCGCAAAACAACAGTGACAGCTGTGCTGGTATTAACCGTAAGTTCGGTGACACTGCACCGAACTGTGTGCCGCCGTGTCAAAAACCGGGAAGTGCACAGAGCCAGCACTGAGGTTGACAGGTGCTACCAGCTCAGAGGAAAGGCACCCTTCTGTCTTCATCCTGACTGATCGCGAGAAAGGCACCCGTTTCCCCGTCAACACTGGGGCAGAAGCGAGCATGCTGCTGGCGTCGCCAGCCAATCGCAAATGCCAGAGCTCGTCGACGTTGCAAGCTGTAAATAACAACGATACCGACGCACGACTCTCTCTTGCTAGACCTTGGCTTCAAGAGGAAATTTAGGCGGATATTTATGGTAGGTGACGTAAAATTTGCTACCCTGGGGGAGCAGACTTCTTGCGTCAATTCGGACTGCTGGTTGATGTACGCAACCAGCATATACAGGATTCCCTCTCACCAGCAGCAGTGAGCAGAAAGCCACCTAAGCATCCGCCCCTTAGCCGTACGCCCGTCATACCACCAGGCACAGCCTGTTTTCTCCTATGGAAACTTATTTCCTCTAATAGAAACTATGCCATGTGGGCCCAAATAATATCTTTTTATTATAACCGCACAGCAGCCATCTCAACTTTTTTTTACCAGCACATCAAAATTTTTGAGGAGTTCTAACATTGGTTTGCAACAGCCTGTGGGAGTTGCATAAAATCAGTGCAGCTGTACTGCATGATAAACAGTTTTTTCATGCTTTTTTATTTATAGATAGTATGATGCACTCCGACTGTGCTGCTAACAGAAAATGTGTCGGTAATATATTAGGCTGCACATTCATTTATAATATTTTTGTATCGAATTATGCACGTACCGCCGAATACCCACCGGTTTTGCGAAATAGGCACAGGCGTCCCCGGCCCGACACTCGGCTACTTTCAGAGGTGAAACGTCTGGGAGGGGCAGCCTGCGCCCTTCAAATCCCGTCGAAACGTTAGCACGATGAGTTGAGGTAAAACTCGCTGGGTAAATCAAGAAAATGTGCCGCCCCCAGTCACACCGGGAGCTGTGCCCCATGCGAGGGGTCGAGTGAGTGACGATGCGTGCTGGGTCTGTTCGCTGTGCCCGTTTTCGTGTCGGCACTCGCAGTGTTTGAGCCGTGTGGAGCGGCCATAACCACTTTTTCTTTAAAGGCTGCGTCGTTCGAAACGGAGAGACATTGGAGTCAACAGAGCTTCTCCCAAGCGATCCCCCTGAAGAAAGCCGGGCGTCTGGCCAAGGGATGCTTGTGTCCAGTTTGTGTTCCGGTGGGTGTGCACTCACTGCCTTCTTAGGCGGAATGCTGTGTTGCACTCATAGCACAATTCACCAATCGGAAGTGCACTGCATTCAGTAGAGATAGTGGTGATAACTGTTATGGATACTACAGTTTGTGTGCTGGCCACACATTAACCATGTTGTCTGTTATGTTGTGATAATACTAAAAAAAAGGTGTGGGTTGACTATAGCTACCCATTATCACCTCTGGCTTCTCTTGCATCTCAGCAAAAGGCACATAGCACCCCAAGTGAGAATTTTATGGCCTACAGGTCAACGAAAATGATTAAAAAAAAATAATGACGATGCAACTTTGTGTGCATTGTTAATGGAGGAACTAATGTTTCGTTGATTTGCTCTTCAGGAGCGACATTGCAAAACACGTGGCTTCAAAGTCGGCTAAGGAATGCGAGTCTCACTACCTGCAACACTACATCTATGCTCCACAAGGACTTCTGAAAGGTTTGCATTATGAAAATTTGTGCAGTATTTGCAGATTCTTTCACTGGCCGCTGTTCTTGGCCATTTAGTACCTGTTATGATTAGTGTTAAAACTGTAACCGTAGTGTCACCTGTCCTCATCTTTTCACGCTGTTTTGACTGCTCAGAATGGGAACTAAGAAGTCTGCAAGAATATTGTCCCAAATGAAATGCTAGCTGAATGGGGAAACTCGGAATTTGAAGAGCGAGTAGTCAAGCCTTGCCTGTTGAAAGGATACTCAATATCAAGACTTTTAAACATTGTGCTACTCTGCTGCCTGGCCAGGCAGAAAGGCTTGTGGAGGCAAGCCCTTCTGGCTCAAGCAGCCTTGCTCAAACCCTTTGTTGCCTCTTGAAGCATCCTAAAATAAGGGCAGGCAGTCACAAACCACAGCAAAACTGTGATAAGGCTGGGCCCGAGTCGGGTACAGCCTGCAAAAAGGCACCTAAGTGGCCTTTCTTTTCTGCGGTGATAGTAGCTGCAGCTGCACTGTGTAACCAAGCTGCATACAAACCATGAAATAGCGGGTTCAATTCGACACCAGCTGTAAAAAGTTTCCACTGCTTGTGGAGGCCAGTAAGACTAACGATGACATCAGCCATAGGGCGTAATGCACTATTGCATGCGTGTGCTCTCTGGTCACTTCTTGACTGTTCCAAATTCAATTTCATTTTTTCCTTATTCAGAGTAATTGAAGGCTGGCTCATACAGGCAGTTCCAGTAATACTGATATGCCAGGCATGTTTCTTGGATATCTAAATGCTATCCATCTTTGGTGTGTCGTGACTGTTTAAGATTGGGTGGTGCTGCTTCAGTGAATGACCTTATATGCCCACTCAATTTTATTATAGTACAACCTCCTGTACCCAGGTATTGCGTCTGAGCCCAGCAGCATCGGCAGCTGCCAGCTTGCTCCTGTGCCCTACAGAGGTGAGATAACCTTATTGTGCTCAAGTAACGTGCTTCAAGTGTGCAACTGTTGTGTCTGAATACCTGAGCATTGCAGCAGTGCAAGTGTTAATTGTTTCTTTTCCTTCAACTTCATCATGATGCCTTGAGGACCAAGCTGTCCTCCTCATTGCCAAGCACTGCTGACAGTTTATTGCATGCCTCGCTGACGTGGCATACATCTCTTCCTTTTCTCAGTTTATCATAGCATTCAAGACAGACTGTGGGTAAGGGCACAGGAAAATAATCCATTCTTTCTGCCCACATTAAAGAATAGCAAGCACAGGTAATCATAGCCATGTTCCCGCTCTGTAAAAGTTCAAGAAAGAAAATGGGAAATATAGTAAATGTCTTATTTTGCCTCCATCTGTGGGGCAAAATGCAATGCCGCATAAGGCAAAGTGAGAGAGTTCAAAACATTTTGTTGTTTGGCCTTTGCAGCTGAAATACTCAGAACTCTCATTCTAAGCATTCAAGCAGTCTTTGTGAGCCTACAGTTTACACCTCGTGCTTGAATCTGCTTGCCCATGCTTTTGTAACAAGTAGAATACTCAACTCCCTCCTTGCACCTAGGCAAATATGATGATGACCAACCTGAGGTCATCCACCGAAAAATCATCAAGCGGGTGCTCGACCTATCAACACGTCCAACCAAAGGCTTCTGGCCCTAGGTGTGGTGAACACCTACCGGGACCTTGGAGAAGTCCTCCTTGTCAACCAATACTCGTGTCTTGCACGAACCCATCTCGGTCGCCACCTCTTGGGCCGGCTGCACATCAAACACAACTGCAACCTTCAGGAAAGAGTGAGAGTGCCAGGGCCTTGTAGACACGCCCTTTGGGTCCGACCACTTCCTTGCAACATGTCCATAGAAGACCACAGCGGTCACGGAAGCGTTACAGCGACACTTTGGTCAATAGCAAGACGTGCTACGTGGACATTGCCGGCCAACACCACAGAGGGCATCGCCGCAGTTATACACAACGTAAACACTGTAAACGGGCTCACTCTCAAAGCCTACAGCGCAACACACGTGGAAGCGATTGCCATCGCTCTGGCCTCACACCTATCCCTCTTCAAAACATATCACCGACTTGCAAGGGCCTGTCGAACTATGAGCTAAGATGGGCTTCCCCGCTTGCTCAGCGCATACTGCGCCTAGCTGCTGATATGTTGATCCAACTCTGCGTGATCTGGTTTGGGCATTCGTTCACCAAGGACTCAAGGGAAAAGAGCAAGCCAATCAGGCCACCCATGCACTCTCTTCCTGGGCTATCTCCTTGTCTTTGGAAACCTATTCAGACAATACGGCCCTATTATTCAAAGACATCACCAATTACTACAAGGAAGAGTACTGGCGCTATCCCGATTCTGGTAAGGGACTGGATCACGCTGATGAGCGCCTCCTTTTAAAACTGTTTGTCAACACTGTACTATGTCCAGCTGTTGCAAAACATTTCAAATCATTTTTGATGGCACATGCCAGTTCTGTGGAGAGGTGGCCCGACACCTTCCACATAGTCGGGGCATGCCTGTCGAATCCATCTATCCTCCCCCAACTTCAACCTCCCGAGAGGATTAGGAGGCAGCCCTGCTTAGCTGTTAGTACCCGAAGGCCCAAAAGGCCTTGGTTCAACAAAATTGGGTTTTGTTGCTTGCCAAGTGCGCTCTGCAAAAGGGGTTCCACCTAGTACTGTGAGAGGAGGAAGGCCAATAAGGCCCCAGCCCAATCAACTAACCTCTGTGGAACCATTCAATCGTTAATAAATGTTTTGACCACCACCTACAGACAGAGTGTGGCACTCTGGTGTTCGACAACGGCTTGCAGATCAAGCATCGCCAGTATTTTTATGTTGGCATTGTCATGAGTAAAATGGCACGAGGCGTGTGCCGAACACTGAAATTCGGCGATGGTGCACGAGGCCCCAATGGGGCACATACGCGCTACGTTCACGGACCGTCGGAGGAAAGCCTGTGGCCCGTCACCCATGCTGTAGTGGAAAACCTCGTAGAAGATGAGCTGGCATTGCCCTGTGGGGCACCAAGTGAGGAAGGTTGAAAAATACAGCGTTGCCCTCGCGGCGAATGCTCAGTTAACCAGGATATGAAGGTAGCACCGTCAAGGTGCCGAAAAGCAGCCATCGATTATGGTAGTAACCAATCGAGACACGCTATCTGGATTTGCAGCGTCTTGCAACAACAGTTCCCGAGACACCTGCCGCTCTTCGCCTTCTTCACAGGACGGCAGCCACACTACTTAGACTTCGATGGGTAGAAGCAGTGGCGTAGCCAAGAATTTTTTTTTGAGGTGGGGGGGGGGGGGGAGTATGGGGGGCACCTTTTTGATTTTGCGAGGGACATCTCCTGAAATGGTCATTTTTCGCTGTCTATGCCGTGGCGAAACAATCTCAAGAGGGGCATGGGCCCAGTGTTGCCACCCCCTGGCTACGCTTGTGGGCGTAAGCTGGCGGGATTTACATCGACTGGGTCCTGAAGGCAAGTGGATCGTGAAGCGCACGCCGGCCAACGCCGCTGACTACGAGATGTCTTTCATACTTCGATGATGGCAGACTTCTCCTTAGTTGCAAACTGTCACCGTGAACTGTAAGAATGTTTGGTTGAAAGGCGAGTGTTTTTGAGTAAGTACAGAGAAACTGTTGTGGCTATCAGCAGAAAACTTCGTAGTTGCAAACCATCACCACAAGCAGTAAGAACATTCGATTGATGATCGAGTGTCTTTGAGTAAGTACAGAGAAGCCGTGGTGGTTACAAACTGGCATGTTCTGCATTAGGCATCAGACTCAAAAATACCTCCTCCTATCAACCTCAAACTAACATCACTGAGCACGTTAATTGGAACTCTAGGCGAACACCACAGAGCATATGCAATGGAATGTAAATGGTTCAGATATGGTGTTTTCTACGCCTACCATGGTTAATAGGTCTACAGGTTATACACCTGCATTTCTTAACTTCGGGAGGGAGTTTTCATTTCCATTAAGGGGGGAGGCTACCATCGGATACCAACTTTTTTGTTTATTGAGATATCTTAATGAAATTTCCAGGATAGACTTATAGCAAAAGCATTAGAAGAACTACAAAATTTCATCAAGTTATGTTCCCTGGTTTTCAAGTTACAGCAGAATATCAGGGTAGGGCACATGGTTCTCTTATTCCAGGCCTGGAGAACTTTCAAAAGGTGCTGGAACTGTGAAATTAACTATGATGATTCCCAGATTGATACTCCAGGGGGTAACAGATCCCTTTTTTTGAATTTCCTTGCTGAAAAGTTTTAGCAGACCATCAAACTTTGTGTTTGTGATTAGGATATTATCAATCAAATTTTGATTAAATATAATAAATAACACACACAATATATTGAAAAAATGGGCTTGTCACCCCCTCAGAAATTTATTCATGTACATAATAAAAAAAGACTTATGGAAATCCAATGAGTGGTTCTAGAGATATGGCTGGAATAAGCAGCCTCACTAGCCAAAAAAGTCATTTTGAGAAAACGACGTTTGAAAGTTTTGAGCACATAGGCAGTTCTAAAATGAACCTGCAGCGTAACTGGAGGTGTCCTTTGGCACTCTCTTTCTTTGCCGCCTTTCCATCTTCTCTAGGGATCGCTTCTTAGCCTTTTTCAAGCGCAGAGAATCTTTCTCGGCTGCCAGTTGAATGGCCAGGTGGTCAGGTGTTAGCCCCACTGATGAAGCTAGCTCTTGGGTGGCCCTGTAGCAGCAAGCATTATATCTTAGCACTGCATCATGCAGTGCTGTCTCCACAGCAATCAGTGACGCATGCTGCTCTTTGGGCATGAGGGACCACAGCACAGAGTGAAAGGATTCTGATGCATTCTGCGTCTTTGCTCCCAGGCAGCGTTGCAGAAGAGAAGCCTGTGAGAGCCTCTCATAAATGGTTAGAAGTGCATCTGCAACATAGCGTGGCAGCTTGTACAAATGCTTCGGAGATGGAACACCGGTAATCTTGCTGGCATTGTGACGACACCAGGAGTCTGCACCCTCTGGGCACAAGTCGTGGTGCGGCTCCTCATCCGTCGACGTCACATGGTGGTACGATGCCATCACTGCCCGCCGCATTGCAGCCACATCATCGGAATTGTTCCGTAGGGCCCAGCCATAATAATCTGTCAACTTGTCGATGAGGGCCTTTGTCAGCCTGCCCTTCCCTCCCAAAGCCTTGTCACTTTTTTGCACAAGGTTGCGAAGTGCAGTCCCCATCCTTTTCTGAACGTGGTTCAGGCATTCCTCTTTTGAAATGGGGACCAGTCCATAAACATTTTCTTGTACAAGGGCAGAGAAGGTGGCACTATCTCCATCAGACACGAGCGTTGTGTAACGCAGGTTGTGCTTCGACAGTGAGCGTGAAAAGAGGATGATAGCTGCCTCAACCTCCATTCTCCCTGATTTAGAGTCGGTGTTTTTCTGGCACACATGATTCTCCAGCCAGCATGCATAGTCTGCGTCTCCAGGCTTTGGCCCTACTTGGCAACCAAGGCACTGATTAGACAGAACAACGGCGTCCAAGATAAGGCCCGTATGGTATTCGATAATTGCCCCGACCCCAATATGGGATGTGTGCCCACGCTTGTGCCATGTTCCATCATAACAAACTGTTATATCCCTGGTGAAATATTGATCCATTTCTTTGTAAGTGGCTTTTACAGCAGAAGCAGATTCTGCATAGAAATTTTCTATGCATTGTGTCTGCGGTTCCCTGAATTTCTTCAGGTGCTTCTGAAAGGTCTTGTGATGGAGGCCACAATGGGACACGTTCATCGCTGCCCAAAAGTCGTTGAGAGCTGTTTGTCCCTTGCCTATTTGTTTTGTTGCCATAATGGCTCTTACATTCACATCAAAGGCCTTTGTATCATCCTGACGAGATGAACTCCATGAGCTTGAAACTACTCCACAATGCAAGCATACTAGCTCAAGCTTTGCAGCAGGTCCAAGTTGGGT